AAAAAAAAAAAAAAAAAAAACATCACCCACACAACTGTGTGGACGACACCCGCACACACTCACAAACACACACACACACACACCGTCTGCCTCGATAGAAAAAAACGTGAACGACAAAAATAAAAATAAAAATTACCCAACTACTAACGCAATGACTGGACTTGAATGAGCCCTACATCGGCGACCGACCACGGATGGCGGCAGCGATCTCCATAAGTGTGTGGCACATCATCCTCTGCGTCTCATCGGACGCCACCTAGTGCGCTTTTTGGACTGCAACTTCCTGCTCGAGTATGTTGCATTGCCTCGTGAATATGCTGCATTGCCGCTTGCTAGACGATTCGATCGTCGACGACATCAGTTCGCCATGGCGGTCCATAACATCAGCGATCGACTCCAACGCCTGTTGACGCGCATTCTTCCGCTTCCCGCCTCCAGCCCCACTGCCTGCGTCGTTGTCGGAGCCCCTCGCAAAAGAACGTTCTTCAGGGAAACCTTCACCACCGGCCTCACTACCAACAGACTCCCCACCACCCGCTCCTCGCCTGGGCAGCTGCACCCCGTCCGGACTTCCAGTGTCGGCGACGTTGGGAGGGAAAATGGTGTGGTTGCCCACCATGCCTGCGTGGATCTCGTTGTACAACACCCTCTCAATCCGTAACTTGAAGTTGTGCTCCTTCCTTTCTTCATTTGATAGCCTGAAGAAATCTGGCTGGCCGCTCGCATTCTGAAACCTCTGTATCTTCTTGTAGTTTTGGAAGAGATTGTCCCACTTCTTCATGCAGTCGTCCACGTCTCTAGGCCTCCCCGCGTTCGCCATGCGCTTCGCAATGTCGTCCCACTTCCACTCCTTGGTCTGCATCCGACTGTAATTGTGACCCAGCCCGACGAGGTGCATGTCTTGCTCCCGCTTGCATCTCACCAGGAGCATTTGGTCTTCCGGAGACCGGTACGTCGCAGACTTCCCGCCGTCGTCGCTGGCGCCACCTCTGCCGCCACACCCAACGGATCGACTACGAACAACATGTTGAACGCCACGTGGCGAAGGATCGGTGTCGATGATGAACGTACGGCTCGCCTCCCTAGCGCCGCCAGAACACAACCCGAACCTGAGATCAACTCCGCCGTCGTCGTCGTCTCCCAAGCCTTGGTGCAGCAGTGAGGTGAACTCGCCGCCTTCGTTGCTAGTCGACCCGCCTGCTTGCACCGTCTGCGACAACAGCTGTGTCGACCCGCTGGCAAGAGGCAACGTTGGAAGTTCTTCCGTCTCCGGCTCCTCGTCCGACGGGGGCAGTGGTGTCTCCCATGACTCTAGATGCCTGTACAAAGATGGGTCGTACCGCCATGGAGGCTCCGCAGTTGTAGGTCGTCTTCCGCCCTGACCTGCACCAACACCTGCGCATGCTTGCATGCCCGCCACCGGACGTTCCCCTGCCGCCCGTTTCGTCGACGCCAGCCTCTTGCGATGTTGTTTCCACGGCCGCCACGACAAACACACGTGGCGGAAGACGACAATCAGGAACACGACGACAGCGAGTACCAGTAGAGGCAATCTCCTCTGCACGTCAGCCTTGAAATTCACCTCGGGAGCCACTCTCGCATGCGACTACTGCAGACGACTGTTCGGACATGCCGGGGGATAGGGCCGCTCGACCTTCATATGCCGACAACCAGCAACGAAGACGACAAAGGCGCCTGCCTGCGATTCAAAAAACCGACCGTTGCCGCCCGTGCACCACCCGAAGCGCCTCCGTATGTCATCCCGCGCACGTCGCCGTCCTCCTCCGCTACCCGCAACCGAGCCAACGGTCCACTACGGACGTCACCCCGCCCACGGTCGCCCCCCCCCGCGCTCCACCGCGTCGGCCAACGGCTACCATTGGCGGCCGTTGCCGGCCTCGACCCGCGGAAAACCTCCGATGTCCGACCACCCACCAGACGGACCGCTCCTGGACCAGCAACCCCGTGTCGACGGTGCCATGCGCACGATGCAACGACTCCGTGAAACGCGGGAATCCTAAATTTTTCAGTAGGTCAGGGGCTACTGGAAAATTTAGGACGATTTTGCCTGGGGAATCCTTAAATCCTTTAGGACTCGTCGTAACGCCGTTTTCACATTTTCGATCTCAAAATTGGATTTAGGATTGCGTGCAACGAAGACGCAATCCTAAAAACAGGCACTTTTAGGAGTGTCTAACGAGACCCTTAGGCAAAAAAAAAGGACAACAGCGTTGAGGTATGATCAACTGATCGGCGCCAGGTTATTCAGAAGTGTAGTATTTTATTCATTTTCTTTCAGTAGAGTTCGAACTCAGGTCTGTATTTCAACAGTTCTGAGATGTACCAACTGGGCTAGGCCATGTTTTAGTTTTCTGTTTGCGTCTTTAACGTTTGAGCTCTAAACTAATTATTAAGAGTGTCGTCTCCTACCGCCACCAGGATAGAGGTTTTGCAGAAGGGCTTTTATTCGGGGGGAAGGGTGGGGAGGGGGGAGGGATGTTGTTAGACACATCTGGCAAAATCTAGAAACTCTAAGATGGTACTCGAAGGGCTTTTGTCATTAGTTCGCCCTAAACTGGTTTGAACCGCGGTTTCTCGTTCATTGCATTCCTGCAAAGTGTGTTTCTCGAAGGAGTCGGAAGGTAGGCTTCCATTTAGAAAGCAAAAATGAACTTGTGTTCACAAGGTAGGTTGCCATTTAGGGAAAAAAAATAAAAAAAATAAAAAAATGTTGTGTTCCAGCCATTTGGGCTCCACCACAGATTGAATTTGCAGATGTCATCCACACTCTGTTGAACTGGGTCCCACAATTTCAAGTCTCCTCGCAAGGTGCCTTGAGATTTTTGAAGAGTGATTGTGTTGCCGTGCAGTTTCTAGGACGCTGTGGAACGATGAAAACCCCTTTTCTAGGATTTTTATATGGGTGTTTAACCAAACCCTAGACCATATTTTTCAGTCCAGAAAAGAACTGCCCCTCACCTATCTCACACCCTGCCGTATGTTCGAAGTTGAGCTGTCACCATCCTTTTTACGAGACAAGAGAAACATTTTCTCTGCCAGTACCAGCGGTTGCTGCTTTGGGCCCGATTGTTAGAGATCCTCAGATGGGTCCCATATATTGCTGGGGAGCTGCACCTGCTGGGAACCTGGTCCAACATTCCTAAAACATCTGACTCGCATTTATGGAGTGGGAAGTACCAGCTGTTGCTGCTTTGGGCATTGCATATCCCTCTCTATTTCCGTGCAGTAGAGGCCACACTTTTTATATTCCCAAGGAGGCTGACAGCATCGTCACCCGCACTGGAGGCCTCTGCCAGGAGGCCAAACCCATAGGATAAGATGATAGGAGTCGGTTACCACTACCATGCTACTCGAACCTACCTATCTGAGAAAGTTTTATGCATCTCATGTGCCATTCTTTCAAAAGACAAGATTAGTTTGAGTAGGTTCACCAATGGTTTCAGAAGACAACATTAGAGTAGACTTACTTCACAGAGTTTACGGGCCTCGCTCCACCACTCACCACAACGTCGTTTTGGTGAGTGGCCTCACCGCTTCGCCACTCACCACGGCGCGAATGTCAGAACTTTTTTTTGCTGTGGTGAGTGGGCTGTGCTGAGTACTCATCACGGTGTTCCTTTCCCCTCCTGCAAAAGGTGGTGCACGCTTTCACCCGCTCACCAAAGATGGTGAGTAACTCACCATACTAGGGGCCTTTCTTGTTGCGTTCAGCCGCATGGTGAGAGCAAAAGTGTGGTGAGTGGTGGAGTGAGGGCGACCTTCGAGTGTGAAAAGTCACGTGGTGAGTACTCACCACGGGAAATTGAGTTTGGAGATGGGTGGAGCAGGCCCTACACCTATCAAGACATCTAATCATCTGCTGTAGCAGAGTCATGAGCTAGGATTATTAGGCCTCAAAGTTTTCGTTTGGAATTTTGTGGTGGCCCTAAGCCTAAGTTGTTTGCATTGCAAATGTATTACTCAAATTAGTGTGCAGTGTGCACAGTATTTTCTTGTTTCTCTGCAGCGTCCTGGCAAAATGTCAAAAGTGGAAAAGTTATCAAAATTCTGATCCTGCACAAGCTGATCGAAATGTTTCCCGCCCCCCCCCCAAAAAAAAAAAAGGAAAACTCTCTGTACCCCATTTAATGACGGGAATACCCACTATACCCACTGCCAGCGTCCGACTTGCATCTATACCCAGCCCCTGTTCAACCTAGTACCCAACGTTTCCCTTGTGCAAAATTGTACACATACCCAGTCCCGCAGGTTGTAGGCAGGGGACCATGAAATTATGCTCATGCCCAGAAACAGGGCCAGCAAAATTGTGGCTGTGCCCACACTGAGATGGCATTTCAAGTTCGAAATGTAAAGCCCCCGTCTTCCCCATCCTCCTCCTCTTCTTCCCACTCAACCTTCCCGTACAAAAAGAAAGAAAGAAAGAAAGAAAGAAAGAAAGAAAGAAAGAAGAAAAGAGAGAGACTGAGCTCTCTCTCTCTCGCGACCGTGAGCATGAGCGTGGGCGTGTGAAACGCACACATGTTGCCCTCTCTCATGACGATGCCTCTCTCTCTCTCTCTCTCTCTCTCTCTCTCTCTCTCTCTCTCTCTCTCTCTCTCTCTCT